ACCCTGCCCGTGAGCAATCTCCCAACTCATCTCTGGTAACAGATGGCAAGTACGGTAGCCACCCGCTTCCAACACCGCGGGGGCAGCACAGGATGTCATTGTGCGACGCTACCCGTGAGTAATCTCCCAACTCATCTCTGATTGTTAATGGTATTCAAGTTTTGAAACTTTTAATTGCGAATAATATAACGAAATTGGGACAAATATTGAGCGAAAGGTACAAGTAATCTTCTTAAGTTTCATCTTGTTGTATATTTATACACAACAGCGTATTTTCAAAAAGATTCAAAATATCGACAACAGTCATGGATTGGGAAGAAGTGCAGAAGAACTTAGGCGAAGCGGTAGTACGGTTTGTATGTTTGTCAATTTTTGAATGAAGATAAGAGTAATCAATACATGCATTAAAAAATTTGCCAATTGTTATTTTTATTTAGGTATTGCACGTCAAATAACGTACAGCCAAAGAAACTGAATACCGGTGCATTCTTTGTAGAAGATGTTAAGCTACTGATGCAATTTAAAACCATTTTTGTGGAAGGGATAGGGCAAATTCCTATAGATAAAGTTACTCCAGTTGCAAGTAAGTTCTTCAAACAATTATTCATTGTCCTTTTTTTGTTAATTTCATAGTGATTCAGAAAAATTACAGAAATTTTCAAGGCCACTCATAAAAATGAATTATTAATTTCTTAATTAAACTCTAGGCAACAGTGAAAGCAGTCAAAGTGAAACTATTGAAAATTACCTGAAACATGCATCTCTTGAGATTAATTTGAGTTATATGGGAAAATTGCAACATTGTACTAAATTTTCAAAATCCCATATTTTGCAAATTGCTATAAATGGCAAAGAGGTATTTCAATATATTATATTACATGCTGACCACATGTTAGATGGAAATTATGAAATTGTTGCTGAGGCTTTGACACCTATATTGGGTAAGCTTTTAAAACGTCACAGACGTTTTAATTATTACAGTGCATTACAGGAAATATTGAAATCAAAGATCACGTGCAAAAATAAAAATAAGGGATTTGAACAGATTTCAATGAGTGATATGAATAAGTTCTTTACATGCATATTTGTCAATGTTCTACCAAGGGAGTTGTTTGGCGGACATACAAATTTTAATGCAATAAAGAAAGGTACTCTTGCCTTCCTTGAAACTGCTCGTGGAGAAAATTACGATCTGAAGAATGTAATAAGGAAAATGAAGGTGAGATTGATATTATTACCATTCTCTTAAAATGATATATAAGTCTATTGTTTTATTAAAAAGATAACACTTAAAAAGTACAAAATGCTTAGGAACTGGCGGTATAATAATCTTTCACAATATTAAATATACAATTGTTTATACTAAGCAGAACAAACTAAAAATTTGTAGTTGCTCAGAACAAAAAGGAATTAGTAATTAGTGACATTGGTATTAGTAATTAGTGACTGAAATATAATTCTCAATTCTAGCACATTTCAAATTTTAAAATTAATTTCTGGTGAGTAGACATTATACCTATATATTGGTCAATTTTTATTATTTACTTTCTTGGGAAGTTTGAACTTTTGTATTTTGTAGATCAATTAGTAAATTTAAAAACTCAAATCGATGAAAAATGCCAATTCAGAAGTTCTTTTAATGCTAAACACAAATTACAGATATTGAAAATACTCTGGCTACCAAACACATGGGATTTGAGAATGCAGTGTCGCTTCATAGCAATATTTATCAAGTGGTTCTTCACTGAATTTATTACTGAAGTGATTCATACCCAATTCTACGTCATGTACTCAACAAATAGCTCTCAAAGGATTTATCTTGTTCAGTCTCAGTGGCGAAAAACTACCTTTAGGTTTATTAGAAAGCTCGAAGAGAAAAAGAAAATCATACTTTATAAGTCTAATGACATCTGCGAGCCACCAATTGCCCGGATGGAATTATTGGTGAAAGGTTCAGGGCTGAAACCAATTTTAACTGTGAAGTAAGTAGAAATAACTTTTTACTTCCTTTAAAACTTTTTAATTCTATTTTACACAGAGAAATGTAGACTATGCATGAAATATGATTGATTAAGCAGTAATATACATTTCTTGACACTAAAAAGTGATCATTATTTGTGAGTCGTGTGAGAAAGGCTATTGGGTTGATTGATTTCTTTTTTTTTTTTAATATAAACGAATGTTTTTTTCAGCTGTAAATATGAATGAGATATTAAAAATGATTAGAAGCATAATATCTACATGCTGTTGCATTAAACAGTTTTTATCCGTCATTCCAAGTGATAAGCATGATTCAGCTTGTGTTTGAATGAGCTTTGAATGAAATGTTCAGAATTATGTAAATTTTATTAGGACCATTGTTTTCAGCTCACCAGGGGGATTTTTTGGGGAAAAAAATAGAAATTCAACAATTGCAGTAAGTTGAATCAGTGGAAAAAAAACCTGCGTCAAATACATTCAGTGGATATTATATACAAAATAAAGTTTTACGAAAGCATACCCATAAAGTGATAATTAAGCGCATAGCAGTAATCTCTCTTGCTAAACGTGTGTATATCATGTTACATTTAAAACAAAATATATCTTAAAAATAAAATAGTATTTGGCGAGCCTCATCAATTATCTGCTTCGCACATTTAAACAATCGTTGTAAATTCGAGGTTTTTGAGGGTATGAATACTATTATGTGACTCGCCGAATATTGTTTGTATTTATAAAATATTTTTTGTTTTAAATGTAACATGTGATATATGTACGCGTTTAGCAAGAGTGATTACTCCTATGTGCTCAATTATTATTTTCTGGATATGTTATCGTAACATTTTATTTTGCATGTAACACCCAATGCACAGATTTGACAAAGGTGATTTATTTCATTATTTTTGTGTGATTAATCACCACTATATGGATATGACTTTGCAAAATGGATTTTTTCAATAGGATGTATTTGGTGTAAGTTTTTTTTAACACCGAACGTGTTTTTATGGAGGTTTTAGATCTTTTTGTAATTTGTATTGAGTTATGCAAGTAATGAATTCGTCAGTATCGAAGTCCATCAGATCCATTGATGACAAGTTCAATTTATGTAACATGGCTTCTTACCCGAAGTTTAGTAATTAATTCAAGTTTATTACAAACTTCTGTGTTACTGTTCGAACAAATTTAACTTATTTACCTTATATGAACTGTTATTTTTTTCATTACCTAAATGATGACACTAATGTAGGATATACTTTTTAAAAAAGATATATAGTTTATTTAAAATTTCAAAAATATAACAATTACAATTATATTTCGTTTTTTTCGACTCCTTGTTGATTCCTCTCGATTCCTGTCGATTCTTGTCAATCCTCGTAGGACACCTTGGTTGAGCCCTCCAGAACCCCTTTCTATGGCGGTCCAGATATCGTTTGGGCTTTGTGTTTGGGGTTTTCCCCTTAATCTTTGGGGTGTGGGTCAGTTGATGACCACATGCGTCACGTCCGAAGTGTCCCACCAGTGTTGCAGTAAACAAAGGGCTCTCGCTCTGTCAATTATCTCTTAATCCTATATTTAAAATAATTCCCATGTAAATTTACGCACTACATCATTGGTTATTTTGATACCACAATTAATAACAGTAAAATTATATTGTCTGTGTAATATTATATTCAGCATCTAAATTTACACAAATATATTGTAGGCATACATTTGATATGTAAACATAAAGTGTAATATTACATGCAAAGTGTAATTTTACATGTAAAATATATTATTGGTCTTCATTATATGTGTAAATTTGATGTGTAATCTTCCAATCGGTGATAATATTAATGGGCCTCATGTTAACCCAAACATTAACTTATTAAAATATATTCTACATGAAAACATAACCATAACTGTAAGACACTAGACTGAAGTAAGTCAGCTCCGTAGATTGCCTGAATCTTCAACGGCCAAACGCACGCAACAACTAATCATGCGCCACGCTGCGCCGTCTATGTTGGACACGTTTCGACGCGTTTGGGATTATTCTGAAACAAGAACATGTGTGGGGATCACGTGATCGAATTTAAACGATTTGATGGATTAAGTTTACACACTAATGTGTATTTTTACACATCAGTGTATCTACACTGCTTTGTAAAGTGTAATATAAATATTAATACGCATTAATATGTAAATTTACTAGGAAACCTGTAGATTTTCATACGTGGTAAAGGTCTTAGATGCCACCAGAAAAATTACAATGTAATGTTACATTTAATTAAAGTAAAAATGCCCTACTGTAGTGTAACATGGCGGATCGTCGAGCCTCCTCCACGAACGTGGCCATGAACTTCTCAGAGCCGCTACCGCGTCTCTTGATATCACGTGCATTTATACATTTTCTGATTTGTAATTTTTCCATTTTATATTTTTTTAATGTACAACTTCAGTTATGTAGTGTGTAAAAATGTATTTAAATTTCCTGTTACGTGGCAGCCGAGCGGATGCGAGGCCGGGGAAATTCGGGTAGGGATTACCGGGATTTGTCGCGTACCGAATATATTAATATTGTGAGGATCTCATTTTGATTGATCCGAGCGGCTAGATCAACTCCTTTTGTAGGATCTGCGGAAGTGAGGATTGGAGGAAGGGCTCAATGAATGTCAATGTGGGCAGATGTGCTATAATTATTATATTTATTCGTCAATAATGTGGCGTTATAATCAGCTGTGCGGGGCAGTCGAGCTGCCTTGACCTGATTTTCTCTGGTTTCATTCTACTTCCGCGTTTCGGCGGTTCGGGTATCGCGATAGCGCGCTTTAGCAGCGGCAGGTTACTGAACGCCCGGAATGCCGACGCGGGGATTCTTTACTGTTAGAATGGCGGACTACGCGTGATTCTAATCTATTTCGCGAGGCTGAGATTTCGTGCTCAACTGTTCGAAGGAAGTTGACAAGTGTTATTCTATCCGGTTAACCGAAACAGGGCATAGAAATCGTGATAATGATTAGTATTCGGTTTGATCGGAGATGAGGGTTAAGAAGTAATGAAATGAAGATGAGTCGAGCTTGGGAAGGATCCTCTACCTGGCTTAATCAGCGGCTGAATTCGGTGACACTCCTTCAATTGACTCAGCCGGATGACTGTGCGTGAATACCTTCGTCCCGTGGCGTGCTTTAAGGTTGGAGGTCTAGAAGCCCCCCGCCCAACTGAAGTCGCAGTGCCGCCGTCTGTTCCTGACACGGTGCGCTTGGATCGCTGGAGTACCGAATGGCACTACTGCGGCTCGCAGGATAGATGGCCTTCGACATGGAGTCCGGCGGTCTCGGTCTCTGACCCGCTACGAATGGAGTACCGAAGACTGTACTCGAAATCGTCGACGTTGACTAGCTTGAAGAGACTAACTAACTAAACTGCCAACCCGAGCTGAAGGCTGGTTTTATTGGCAGGGTGTTCCAATTCGTGGGAGGTCCTAGGGCCTAGGTGAGGGTGGTGTTTCTGGGTCGTGCTAACGCGCTGTGTAGTCATTAGGTTGTTTGCTTCGGGTCGATCGTAGACTTTTGGAGTCGTCTTGGTCGATGAACTTGTGTCAGGTATTTTAGGTTTGGATCCTTTCGCAAGAATTTCCTAATCGCGTTTCCGTACTCGGATTTCCATAGCTAAATTCTGGTGTTCGGAATATGATGTTTCTTAGATTAGCATACTGAGGGTGCCTACGTAACAATTCATTTCTCTGTTCAAAATTTAGCGGTTCTATCAGTACGATGCGTTTCAGGTAAAATTCTACGAACTGGGCTAATTCTTTTTACTCGTTCTTAAACCATTCTACGATAAACTTTAAATTTGGAGATAGAGTCGTCGATGTTAGATTCCAAATAATACGCTATGCTGTGTAGAACATGTTTCTGGTAAACCGCTGTAATTGACGAATTTGACGTACCCGTAACTGGTTCTAACATGCACTCAATCGTATACATCGAACGGAACAGGTACCTTGTGCTTGTAATTTTTGAACTTTAAAATTTTACCGTTCTCATTCGGTAATTCCAATTTATATTTGTTAATATTCATGCAATCAAGTCTATGTTTCTCGAAAGAGCTTCCTAACTTAAAGTGACACATATATCTATCGCTCAATTTGGTATGGTGACCACGTTTTGAAATTTGCGAACTCAGTAACCGAGATAGATTTCGAATCCAAGCGAAATGATACACGTTACCATTGTTACCTTCCACGTAATCCACCCGATAGGTTATCTCTATCTCTAAGTACTAATGAGTTTTATTATCACGCGTTGGAGCAAGAATCACGAGCGTCTCGCGTATTTCGGCTAAATTCTTATAAACTGTAAAGGGAAACCAGAAGACGACGTACTGATATCAGTTTAGACAGCATGACAAACTGATCGATTATTAAATTAAGGATACCGATGTTTAGACGTCTTGAAATCTCATTCCATCGATTAGGTCACTGAAAGGAAAGACTAACCCCTTTATAAGGGCTCATGTCTCAAGAGCGCGAGTTTAGTCGCGTTCATGCGAATACGTCCGCGAGATCATCTATTTTTTTTTTTCAAAGTCAAGTTTCACTGACGCGAGTGTCTATTTAGAAGAGAGCAGTCTCTTACAATTGGTGGATTACATTAAATCCAGGTACGTCTAAATCTTGTTTCCCTAATTAAGCTTATATATTTGTAATTTAATTACCTTTACACGATTTTTCCTTTTACCATTAATATTTTTCTTTTCTCTCTTCTAAACGTTATCTATTATATCGCTGTTGTTTTATCCCCTTCATAATAAAAGCTTTATTAGAAAATTCAAACCGCTTACTATTTTCTTTTTCCACCTTAGTCGTCCGATTTCCCCTAATTCGTTTGGCCGTATAAATCTTTTTTTTTTCTTTTCCCTTCTTTCTAACTAAATAAGAACGGTCCTTTGTTCTAATGGAATCGAAGTTACCTACCATCGGTTGTCACCGTGACGGATAAGGGGTAGTGGTTGGGCGATTCTTTCCTTTTTCAGGTGAAGTTAAAAGAGTCTTATTACCTTCCCCTGATTGCTACTATTACCTATGAGGGGCAGAGGTTTAAAGACTCAGCGTTCCAAACCTCAAGTTCAGGGGTAGTATATAATTAACGCTAGAACTACAAGGCCAGTCAAAATGACTGGTTTTAAATAACCCACCATAGCCAAAATAAATCTGCTGGTAGTTCTAGTGTTAAGTTCGATTGCCATTTAACCGATCGCGAACGCGTGTCTGCAGAAAGTAGCCTAAAGGCCTTTAGAAAGAAAAAAGTCCCGTCCACAAAGTTTTAATATTCCGTAAATCGTTGAGTGTCTGTTTATCAAGTACTTCTTGGCGGGTCGACATCTTATTGAATAGAGAGGAGACAGAGACAATTGCTTATTCGAGTTAATATAATGTTGGAGTCATGCATTTACAATGTATGCGCATTATCGTTGAGGTCATCCCTAATACATATACTTTATATTTGAAGTATAAGTTACGAAATGAAGTATATGTATACGAAAAAAAATGGTGACCCGTCAAGTAGTATTTGATAAATAATCACAATGTCTTACGGAATATTAGCCCTTTGTGGACGAGACTTTTTCTTTGTAAAGGCTTTTAGGCTACTATATACTGTGAATCGATGGACTGCATACTATTTCGTACAGTGCATAAATATGCACTGCGTACTATTTCCAATGCTTCTCTTATTTTCATCTCCTGTAAATCCTTGTCATCTTGCATTGCGTTTTTGCATTTGAGAATTCCTTCGCGACTAAGGAATAGCTTGAAGTAAGGAGAAGATGCTCCCGCGCGGGACGTCTGTGCGTCACTAGCGCCATTCACTGGCTAAAAGGTAAATAAGGTTTCGCACATCACATATATAACTATTTTAATTAACACTTTTTATTTTCTATGTACATTGCGCGAATTTTTCGCTCCTGATCAGTCGCGGTTGTCCTCGTCTTGGCCCAGGAGGTCGTAGACTAGTGCGTCTAGCTCCTTTTACACGAGGAGCTGAATCCCTCGAGATTACGCCTCCGCGATATGGGCTGTTTCGACCAACGCGTCGGGGTTGTCCAGTCCCAGTCCTTCGAAATTCGCCACCAGCTGCAAAGTAGTAGGGACCTAATATGACGCGACGTGCTTCGTTTGACATTAGATGCGCCTAATGGAACCCCGACCTTATTACGGCAATCTACCACCGCGCCACATGCGGCCACTCAATGGAACTCCAGAGGAATGCGGTTGCGACGAAAGAAATGTGGGCATAACACGGTGATGAACAAGTCGCGTGAGCGAAACGTGACCTTTAATATTTTTAGATTAGCGTACTGTAGCAGAGGTGTAGTAGTATAGCGGATGGCATAGGAAAATCTGAATAAATGACAGGCTCTACAAATCGGAACGTACTTTCATTATGCCAAACATGAATCCATGATAAGTTTCCTGAATTGAGAAATAAATAATTATCACATTAAAGTGCCGAACTTTGGCGTTAATATTCGGTGCCGTTCGCGTTTTAATTGATTTGGCGCGGAACTCTATCTAGTTTCTTGAAAAGATTGTTATGATTTTCATCTGAAAAATCGTGCATTTTTTATTGTTATTCAAGAACAGATAAATCTATTTAAAAAAGCCCTTGTCAGTCAGTGAAAGTATATATGTGAAAGATGAAGTTAATCAAATGGATGGTGAAACAGTCATCGTGCACATTATAATGATAAATTCGCTTTCGCGAGAAACGTGTTCAGTTATAGAGTTAAATGAGAAGGAAAGTTTGTGAAGCATCCTTAGTCAGTTAATTGCAGACTTTTTGAATACATTACTCCACGCAAATATTTACGATATCTTTACCCTCATTATCTTATGCTCTTCTCGAAATTCAGTTCGAATAAAGGCTCCGTACCTGTAGGGTACTGAAGGGGGGGGGGACTAGTTTGGTTTAAACAACTGTATCTTTGTGAATCATTCCAATTTCGAGTTGTTTCTGGTTCCTAATACCTTCACGATATGTACCTTTCAAAAAATTAAAAAAAAATATTAAATTCTATTTTTTTTAAGCGAAACACGTTTATGACCTCAACCCGAGCAGTATTTTTTACAATAATTTAAATTTCTAATCAAAGGGCCCATTAATATTCCATTTTTGTTTAAAGGTATAATAAGAAGAAAGAGAAGGAAGAAGTTAATTTATTACTGACATTTTTGAATCAACTTTATGCTACGCATTATAAGCATTTAACCCAAAGTCAGTTCTATAGAAATTGGAGGAACATTATTAAGAGAATAAAAATTGAAGGAAATTGTAAATCATTATATATTGTATCATGTGATATTCAGGATGCTTTTGGATCTGTCATTCAAGGTGAGTCGTTACAAAATATACAATTTTATTTTCTCCTTAAATTGTTTTTATTTGAATGTGTAATTATGATCTTAAAATTACAAACATCATAAAATGCAAGATAAGATCTGATAAAACCGGGTTGTGTTAAGAATTTCTTTGGATTTATCTGAACGTTTATGTGGTTCAACCTCTTATCTGATTGTATATGGCACTTCTTCGGTATATTTCACTTTTTGTACGTGGCTCTTTAATTAGATTTAATTGAAATTTTGCCGGAATATAAATAACACTATTCCTCTTAAAAAAATCTGTGGGTAAAACATTGTCGCCGCTTTATTCGTTTTGTGATTGGTAGTCGGAAGCAACCTAAAGCGTTGTCGGCGGACAACTTCAGTCGCATTACTTGGCATTCTGACAATTCGTGATTCAACGAGGAAAAAGCGAATGCGACTGGAACACAATTTTTCAAGGGTTTTAGGTTTTAACATGATTAAATATGGATTTAAATTACTCCCATATCTATTTAAAGAGAAACTGACTTTTGTGAAGTTATGAGATAAAAAGTGGAAGTTATAAAAAATACGTGACGAGCCGTGAGCCCGAGCCCCGAGCGCCAGGGTCCAGACTACACGACACGCACAAGCAATAGTAGCGGGGACAGTTGCGCGCACACGGCTCCCGCTGGCGCGTCACCCGAACCTAGTTCGGTCCGCGGCAGCGACGCGACGACTGACGTCTCCCGCAAGTGAGCGGGACGGAGCAAAGTATATAAGGTCGCGTAGCAAAAGGACAAATCGAGGTCTTGGCAAGAACGAAACCCGCCAAGACAAAGCTCCAACGGATCCTCAGGACGAGGGCTCGAATCCAGACAGCACGACGTGACCGCAGACATGCCGACACCAGGAAACGATGCGGGCCAAAACGTACAGGCCGCCTCGCCTCCTTCCTGATCAATCTGCCCAAATCATAGGAAACACCGTAATCGATAACCGCGTATCATCCGTTGTAGCTGCGCCTTGGCGAGTTTCCTCCCTTTCAAGAGCTGAATTATTCTTTCGTTCCGCGGCTTTATGCAGGGTGTAACAGAACTCGTAGTCACGGCTTATACAGCGCTATCCTCGCTGAAAAAGAAATCGAAGTCATATACAACTTTTTTCTTACAGTGCATAAATTTCCTGTAATAACTAAGTGAAACACAGCCAATCAATCGCGTTCCCGATTAATTGGCTGTACTTGACTTAGTTTTTACAGAAAATGTATGCACCGTAGGAAAAAATAGTATATGACTTCTCAACTCCTATTTCAATAAGGATAGCGCTGTATAAATCGTGACTACGAGTTCTGTTACACCCTGTATAGCGTGCTCTGGTACGATCGCTTGCGTGAAACGCAAGCCGTCGGTCGCCGTGTCGCGGCCGCGGGCCTAACTAGGTTCGGCCGCCGCGCGTGCAGGAGCCACGCGCGCTCAGCGGCCCCCGCTTGTATCGCTTGTACGTGTCATGTAGCCTGAGCCCTAGCGCTCGGGATTCGGGCTTGAGCTCACGGCCCGTTACAAAAGTCCTAAAAATCATGAATCCAGAAGACTTCTTGAGTTTTAGTTCGACATCGTATTCAATTGAAACGGCAAATGAAAATTTCCATTCACTACAATTATCAATATAGTACGACACACCTGTCAATTTAAAGACAAATGTTCATAATGTGGCGAGCTATACCGCATGTTATATCAGAAGAATTTGTTTGTACACTGACATTCGTCGATGGTTTCTTCCCGGACCTACTGCCCTCTCCGGCCGCGCGGCGTACTAGCGGCGGGAGCCGCGCGGAATTTGCATCGCCCGAGGGGCAGAATGGATTTTCTAAAAAAAATTAATGTTTATAAACAAAAACAATTAATGACAATTATTTAAATATTANACCCCGTACGATAACAGAAGTCAAGATTTGAAAAAACGAAATGGCGGATTAATTATGGACAACTTGTAAGGAAAAGCCGTTTTATTTATACTAAAATGACAATGATTTGCTTAAAATTAGGTGCATACAGAAATATTGAAATTATTATGATGTATAGATATACGTACAACTTTAGTAGTCATCATCAGAAGAATCACTTGATTTACAGTCAGTGGATTCAACTGAAAAATCGCTTGAGCTTTCCTCACTTGTTGAAATACTTGGCGCAGTTAATAACAGTACTGCTTCTGGCAGCAATGATTTGAATTTTTGCAAGGTAATTTGCGCAAGCTAGAGATGTATGGGTCGGATGTTAAAAGAAGCCGTGAAAAAAGGTCTTCCATAATTTTTACTCGGGAACATTTCCCCGAAAAATGTATTCTGTACTTCTTAATGTACATATTACTAGACTCTTGAGCGTCTTTAGACATTTATCCGATTGGTAATAGTACAGAATTTATTATTTTCGCGCCATGAATTAAAATTTTATGCACTGCAGTTGGCATATGATACCACGGATACAAGTGTACGAAGTCGCGAGCTGTTTGTAGGGCATAATCTTGAAATGTAATTAAATTAATTTCATGGCCACTCGAAAGTGGCTGCAGTATAACATGAAAACGTTTGATTAAATCTTCATTTACTCGTGATAGAAGCAGAAATGGTAGTTTTAAAAAAATCGTCGAGCGGTGTTACATCCCGCGTAACGTTTCCTGCGCATGCAACAGTAAATAAATAAATATATATATATATATATATATATTCACACATATTTCCATTTCAAATATATATAATCCTGCACGCGCATCGGCTCACGCATCGGCTGAGACCGGGAGGCTCAGGCCACTCTAGTGAACTAATAAACATGCCATAGTTTCTTAAATTCAAATAGCCAAGGGCCACCCTGTTTCAGTCCCGGGACCCGCCGACCTCGAGAAATAGTGAGTAAGACAGCAGGGTTCCGGTACTTGAAGTCCCATAAAGTATAAGATAGGGAAACGGGACCCCAGTGATAACCGACACCACCCTTGTACGTGCGAGGCCATAAATTCGGTTCAAATCTTAAACATTTAGTCTTCCTAGAAAAAGAACGTTGTTACGGGGCGGCCGAGCGGATGCGAGGCCGGGGTAATTCGGATGGAGATTACCCAAATCTTGCGCGTAACGAGGATTCTAATTATTGTGAGGAGATTGATCCGAGCGGCTAGATCAATTCCTCTGGTGGGATCTAGGGAAGTGAGGAATAAAAAAGGGGGTGCGGACGAATGGCTATGTGGCTATTGCATTAAGATTTGCGTTTATTCGTAGTGAGGTCTGAACTACAGTCAGCTGGAAGGGCACCCGAGGTGCCTTGACCTAATTTCTCTAGATTAATGTACTTCCGCGTCGCGGCGGTTCGGGTGTCGCGATAGAGCTATTTAGCGGCGGCAGGTTACTGAACGCCGGTGTGCTGACGCGGGAATTCTTACTATTTTAATGGCGGTCTGCGCGTGATTCTATTTCGCGATGCTGAGATTCCAGCTCAGCTGTTCAATGGAAGTCGATGGATTCTTAACCTATCCGGTTAACTGGAGCAAGGCATGGAAATCGCGATAATGGTTAGAATTCGGTTTTGGTCGGAGATGAAGGGTTAATAAATAAACTAGAATGAAAATAAGGATGAATCGAGCTTGCGAAGGATCCTCTACCTGGCTTGTTCAGCGGCCGTAATCGGTGACAGTCTCTTCTGATCTACCCGGTCGGACGATTGTGCGTGAACACCTTCGTCCCGTGACGTGCCCTAGAGTTGGAGGTCTCCTAGAAGCCTCCCGTCCAACGGAAGTCGCAGTGCCGCCGTCTAGTCCTGACTTGGTGGCTGGATCTCTGGAGTACCGGATGGCGCTACTGCAGCTCGCAGGATAGTGGTCCTTGGCAGGGAGTCCAATGGTCTCGGTCTCTGATTCGCTAGGAACGGAGTACCGGGGACCAGAAGCTCCACTCGAAGTTTCGATGCAGACTGACGTTGACTTATTGCAAATTGACTAAAGACTTTCGACTAATGACATTATGACTGCCGTCTTGATCGGACTGCTGGTTTTATTAGCAGGATGTTCCAATTGATGGGGGTTTCCTAGGGCCCAGGTGAGGGTGGCGTTTCTGAGTCGTGCTGATGCGCTGCGGAGTCATCAGGTTCTTTGCCCCGGGTCGGTCGATGACTTTTGGAGCCGTTTGGCCGATGAACTCGTTGGAATCTTTCGCAAGAGTTTCCTAATCACGTTTCTGTACTCGGATTTCCATGGCTAGCTTCGGTGATTGAAAAATAGGGGTTTTCCTTACGTTAGGGTACAGAAGGTGCCTACGTAACAACGTCAAACTCCCTCTCCTAACAACATTTTTCCTAAATTTCCCTACTCCAAACCAAACCCTCCAACCGAAACTCCCGAAATCCCACATATCCCCCGAAATCGAATATTTCCAACTCCTCTTCCAATTAGAGCCTTCCAACTCCCACTCTTACCCATTTCATCCAATTAATAATTTTTCCAACGCCCATCACTTTAAAACATACCAATAGGAATTTGACTTCTACCCTTACCCGAATTTTGGGCCTCAAGCGTCGTGGGTGGAAACAATATAAAAACCAGTGTTTAAGCAGCGAGCGTACACTCTTCATCGAATATTTCGATAGTTACTACTTCATCGATTTCCACGATTCCATTGAATACTTCGCTAGTTACACTACTTCGACTTCCTCAAACATTTCGATGTTTCGAAAACTCGATACCCTTTTGTTTTGGGGCGGTCGTCGTTTCGAAGAGACAACTAAGGTATTTAGAAATATCCACACACACGCATACATACACACTCACAACTACCCCTGTATCTTTACAAATTCCCTGCTTATTTAATAAACCTAGTACACTTTGAATTTGTTTCATCCTTCAAACACCTTCACCAATATCGAAAGGTCCGCATAGGACTCGCTGAGGGGCCCACAAACTTCTATCTTCCAAATCCCTTTCCTTTCTGCAATCGCGAAAGGAAGCGCGGAGCTTTTGTGTGGCTCCCCTTCCTCTCGACAG